TTTGGTTATGAACTTACTGGCTTACTTCTAGGTTCTAGCAGACAAAAGAAAAGCAGTTAAAGGTGCATTATTTTATTAGAGGTCTGTTTTATTTCACAAAATACCTGCAAAAATGCTTAATCAGGAGAGTTACATAATTACCATCACTACATAGTTAAGCTTCCATACATGATGATACTAAGATCAAATGAATAATACAGATTCTATTTTTAAACATCTTGTAACATTTATGTTGATGGTTAACTAAAAACTAGAGGTGGGTCTTAACAAAAGGAAAAGTGATAGTACTGAAACGTGACATTTAATGCATGCAAAAATGTAGGAAGACATTAACTTCTAATTACCTTCAACAAAGCGTCCTTCTACAAGATGAGCTTAAAAATTCAGCGCACTTAACACAGCAATGTCTATCCCCATGACCCCGGCTGGCCTCTGCATTAGCCTGTCCACACTACACCATGCTGTACATATTGAATGGAGCAGATGCCATACCCCTCCAGATGTGACAACAGCTGCATCTCCAGCTGAGACACACTTTAAAACATGAAATTATAAACAGGCAGCAGACACGCCACAAATTATTCAACTATCCAGCGAGCTTATTAAAACACAATTACAGACACGGGCAGAGAATGTAAGGATGATGGGCTGCTAATGGTATTCCACAGAGGGTTTGCTGCTGAAATTATGCAATAGAACTCAAATGGTCAAATCTCATTATAATAAGCTGCATTATGTATGCAAAAGTATTTAAAATCAAGTGTTCTAACATTTTCGTTGGAAAAAGGATGTCATCTTCAGGGAGTGGTGTAATGGTGTAAAGGATTCAAAGTTTACACAATAAAGAAGTTTACAATTAAGGACATTTAAAAATTACTATATTTAAGACAGAACAACTTGCAAATTCATTTATGGTGTTAGCCAGTGTTGGGGACTTGCAAGTTGTGACATGGACTCGAGTCAGACTTGAGTTGCTGTTTTTTTGGACTTGAGACTTGACTTGATAGAATGGACTAAGACTTGGACTTGAAGGTCAGAGACTTGGGAATTGACCCAACTCTTAAATCTTAACTCTTTGTGTTCTGACCATAATAATTCGTACTCTTGTCAAGACATTTAAAAACGAAAAAATAGAATTTCTACAACTCTTATATAAATACTCACATAGAAAAATACCATGACTTTATAAGTACAATTTAGTTTAAAATTCATATATATTGCAGAAATCTAAGCTATATTTGGTTCCTTGGTTTTAAGACTTGAAATGACTTGAAGCTCAAAGCAGACGACTTGCACTTGACTTAGACTTATGGGCCAGTGACTCGAGACTCGACTTGGACTTGTTTGTATTTGACTTGGGACTTTATTCGGTCTTGAGGTCAAAGACTTGAGACTCACTTGAGACATGCAAAACAATGACTTAGTCCCACCTCTGTTAGCAGAAATAAAAATCTATTTCTACAAATGTTAAATACTTTTAAAAAAAGTTTGTTATATTTTTTATTTAATATTTGGAGATTTTGACCGACCAAATGACTCATGGTTCCAAGGACAGAAGTTAAAGACTATCGGATTGTGTGATTTGAGCTGTTTGTTTTTCCTGTATCCATGGCAACTCTGCTTGGAGATCTCTATAGTTAAAGTGATTTTGGTTTGATTGATTTGATGTAAGTTTTTTGGCAGACAGTCTGCCATTTCCTTGTCTCCGTGGAGGTATTATTACTTTGCCTAGAAAGTTTCACAATACAGTACTAAACTTTTCTATCTCCGCAGAGCCAAGCAGGCAACACTACCAGACCAAATTACAGATCAGATTTGTGGAAAGACGAGCCTGATCACAATAAAAACAACATACCCTTTATTATTAGTCTGTGTACATCTCCAAAGCTCAGTATGTTTTTTCCACTTTGTGATGCCATGAAGCAGGAGTTATCGAGTTAACAGCTAACTTTTACCTTTTGTTTAGTAGAGACTGGCAATTCCGAGGATGAAATTATCCAAATGATTCTAGTGGAGGTGTGTGGATGACATGTGTGTTTTCATTATGAGAAAATAAATCAGCCGAAGAATGCAGGGTGTGTGTGTTAAAAGTGTGAATGAAACAAAACACAACTCTGGGAATGTTTTTAGTGAGGAAACAACATTATAATAAATCAAAAAATAGCTTAAAATGGGCTCTTTAAATAAGTAAATGCTAGATAGAAATGTTTAATGTCATCAAACTACATAATCCAATTGAGTTGATAGACAATCCACCTGAAAAGTTACATAGTGCACCTTTAAAATGTAAAAATAGAACAGACAGACAAAGCTCTTAATAACTACACTTTTAAGCAGTATTATTTATATTTCTTGTTATTTAGGTGACATGCAGTAAAAACACTTCATTCACATCTATTCACATTCATTCACAATAGGGTCAATTTAGTTTCACAAGTCTTCGGTGGGACGAACGCAGCGCTAAATAACTTGTTACACAGAAACATTTACGATTGCACTGATCCAATTAGAGATCATTTCAAGTGCTTCATATCCATAATAGTGGCGTCATGTACTTCTGTTTCCATTAGGCTTTGAGACGTGTCTGCGCTCTCTCACACTTAAAACCGTCTGTCAAAGCCTCTTGTCGGCCACGAGAAAACAAAGCAACAATTCATTTTCCGGAGCGGCGCTGAATAGACTTTATTGGATGAAAAGGCCCGGTCTGATTCATCACTGTCAGGGAGCCTCTTAAAGGGAAGTGGGAAGGAACGGGCCGACGGAGAATGGCTTCAAGGAACAAAAGCGGAGAGGAAGGGTCGATGGAGAGGAAGCTATGATGTTTATAGATTTACTGTATGGTCAAAAAAGCTACTTGTATGTACCATTTGACTAGTTTCTGCTAAGAAATATGACAGAACAGTAGCTGCGGGTTTTTACTGACGCTGTCCATGGTGCTGAAAACCTGTTGCATTTCCAAGATATTTTAAAGATTTTGTTTATTTATTAAAGTAAAAAAATTTACTTCAACAAAATGTATGACATATGTGTCTTCTTGACTCAAAGATAGGAATGGGGTATATGGAAAAAATATTGCAATTTCCTAAAGCACAAATCACAATTTTGATTTCATCACGGTATAATGTACACTATAACTAGATTGTATCAGAAAGCATAATTGTAGTATAAAATCTTCTGTAGTATGGTTTCACAATTACTTTTTAAAATGTCTTTATTTATTTTTGCATTTATTATAAGAATTTAAGTTTGAGCATAAGGTTTGATTAAATCTGATATGAATTACCTTTACGCAAACAGAGCCTAACCCGTTCACTGTCAGTATTGTTAGCTCTGTGTCACTGAGCTGATGTCTAAATCTCTGTCCATACCGTTGGTTTAAACTGCTTCATTCAATCACTCCAGGCACTGTTAATGAGCTCCGGGTTTACAGGACCCTAGAGAGATGGCAACCAGTTTGTATAGTAAAAAGCGACTTTTTAATTTATCATAATTTCAATGGTTACTACAGCATGAGCCAGACAAATATGAGAATTTTTTCACAAATTACAAATTAATGAACCAGTTTTAAAATGGAAATGAGTTCTCAATCTGTAGCTTGCATTTAATTACGGTTTTGAACACAGCTAACAATCGGGACACAAGCCTTCTGCGCTAACATATGCTGAGAGAAGCACAGGCAGGAGTGTTTTGTTTTGGCATTGGGTATCAGATGGATGCCACTCAGATACAGAGGATCGGGGTGCTATTTATTTAGTGAGGAAGGCTCTTAAGCACTTTATGTTCATTAATGTACTCCCATCGATTACCAGCCGCTGGGTCTCTGTCCGCCATGCATTTTTACACAGCTTTAATAGTGCAGGAGAAACCAAATCCCTCACAAGACAGTAGTGTGTCTTTACTTTTTCCA